ATTGGGCATGCGCCCCTAGCACTGCTTCTGCTGTGATTTGTCACAGCAGAAGCCAATCAGCGGGTGCCAGCCAATGGATGACCGCTGACTGGCGAGGAGAGAGACAGAACAGTTTGAAATGAAACACAATGCTGCTTCTGTCAGTTTTGTTAGCTAGCTGTCGGCTAACCATTAGTAGGACAGCATACTATGATGTAATGATCTCAACTCAGTGGGAGCATCTGAGGATATAGTATACAAGTCATGACAATATAAAATGTCCTTGGTCTCTAACATGACAGTTCTTCTTTAACAGCTTTCTGTTCCCGTTTTTATTTAAGGAATGTTTAGGGTGTTAGCCTCCTAAGCAGTTTAAAAGTAGCCATGTGGGCAGTATGTCATAAGCTAACACCTAGAGTTTTAGGTATAAAATAAATGTTATTGCTCTGAAATATCTCAGCTCTGCAGTAAAGTCAGGTTTTAATCAAACATCCTACATCAAACAGACTAAATATCTTGTGAGGAAAACATTGAATGGTTTAATGAGATCCTCATAAACGGCTTTACCATTTGTTTCACCGTTTACACTAAGAAAGAACATACCAGGGTATCATTTGTACACAAATCTGGAGGCAATCGCTTTCAATTTTCTTTCTGTAAATGTTATTCGATTGTGCCTTCCAAAAGAGGGAATAGAGTACATTCTTCAATCAAAACCATATTTCTACTGCTCTATGAATATCCTGTTGGAGTTTATGCAAAGATTGATACTGAAGGCCTATAAAAAGAATGATAATGATAGGATCATCTTTCTTATACAATAATTGGATGTTGTTATTGGATATTGGTAGAGGGCGCTCTGTTACCAAATGCACTTAGTATTTAGTAGTAAAAATAAAGAGATGATGGAGCATTGGCAAGGTAGCACTTGATTTATGATTTATTTATTTTTTTTATGAAAGTGTTGTTTAGAACCTGCTTAATCCTGTTCCATTTTATAATCACTGTAGTACTAGCAGATTAAGCTGAGAAATGTGACAGGTTCATCTTTCAATCAGTAACTTTACTATTTACATTTCCAGAATTACTAATGTCCTGTCCTGTTATGTGATGGCACAAACAGGTCATGGCTTCTACTTCATTGTTACACAGAATATGAAATTAGCAATCTTACAGGGGTGTATAAAGGACAGGGCAGTGGGATCAGCCCACTCCGGGTGCAAGCAGTAAGTGGTTGCTTCATCTTCAAGCACATTGTTCTAGCATATTGAACTTCTGACATTGAAGTTACTCTACTAAGCCAGTGGTGTGAGACTGGTGGAGCTTCTCCTCTTGTCTCTCAAGTAACTATTTACAGCAGAGATCATTTTATCTGTCTTCTCAATGACCACCAATATAAGATCAACATTTGCAATCCAGTATAACAGAGCATTTTTCCGACTAACCTCAGATGTAAGGACCATTCCCTCCCAATGTAAGGGGACAGCTCTAAACTGACCACCAGTGTAAGCAGGTACTCTTTACTAATCACCAATATTATTGGTAACTTTGCCATAAACTACCACTGTAGGAGACACCTCTCCACTGACCACCAATTTAAGACGAAACCTCTCCACTGACAACTAATCTAAGAGGACACCTCTTTACCTACTACTATTTAAAAAGAACACCTCTCCACTGACCTCCAATGTAAGCAGGCACTTCTCTATTGACAATCAATGTTTGGGAACACTTCTCCACCAGCTGCTAATTTTAGGAGACCAGTTTCCAAAAACAATGATGGGGACAGTTATTCACTCACCTTTAATGTGAGTGGGCACTTCTCCACTGAACAATGTAAGGGGACACCACACCACCAATGTAAGAAAATAGTACGCTGGATAGCATTGTTGGAAGACACACCAATGATCACTGCAGTTCAAGCATTAATGTTAATTTATAATGTTTTGTTTGCTACGTCTAGCTTCAATCCTGAATTTTGTTTTAATACAGATGCCACCACCCCACCCACCCCTTCCCCAATCTTCAGAACACACATTGATCACTCACACAGACACTGCTCTCCCTTGGACTTTTACTGTCTTCTCCACTACCTGCACTACTTTGCAATTTGTCATCCCTTCTGCCACAGCACATCTCAAATACTCAGTTTTTTGCATTTTATTTACCTAGATGTGCCATTATACTTTCTGCCTGAACTTTCTGTAAGCTTTGCCTGCTCCTCTTCAACATGTCATTTCACTCCCAGGCACATCATTCAATTTTTCATTAAAAACTTGACCTCATGGACACTCCAATACACAACTCACTATGCTACACTTGTGAATATAATGACCCTTGTTTGAGCAGGTGATGTGAGATCTCCCAGGGCTAGCCAATGTTCCACCAGGGAGCCTATCATGAGGTTTAAACTTTGCTAAGTACTGTTTTTGGATCACAACACCAAGGTTCACCCTGTGCAGTGTAGTGGGACTTAGAATATATCATAGCTGGCTGGAACATGAACCTGAAACTTACTAGATAAAGACCACACAAGGCAGCAGTACTGTGGACTTCACCAGAGCAGGCTAACACATGAGTCTGAAGTGTACCAGACAAACAGCAGACTGAACCTAACAGGAGGACTGGAGACCACACTGAAGCAGTCTAAAACAGGAAGCTAGAGCATACTGAACAATTAGCTAACCAGGCCGGGAAGCAGGTTTCCACACAGCAGCAGGCTGAAAACAACTAAGGCAAAGGGGAAACAGAATACAGGCCAGGGGTAGAGGCAAGTGGCCAACAGGGAAATCCAATCAGGTAGCAGAAGTAAGTACACAAGAAGTCAGTCCAAGGAATAAACAGGCTGGAAACAACTGCAAATGAAAGCTTGTGGAAGTATTGTCCAGACATGTGGATACAAATTCTTGAGATGTAGCCCTTTACTAGATTCATGCATAGTGATGTCATTGACTGGTAACCAGATGCAGCTGTAATACCTCAGGAAGATCCCTGAAGTGTTTCCAGTTGTGAGAGAGAGGAGTCATGGCAGTGCAGTTCTCAGCTTCACCTAATTTCCTTACTGTCCAGTCTCCTGACCATCGTTTGGTTACACTCAGCTGGTCCCAGTTCTTTATATAAAGTGTTACTAAACCCAGGACCCTGCATTCACTATAGCTGGTCTCCCACAGTACACAGAACATGGGAATGCAATTATTTTAGTGAATATAAACTGCTAAATACCTTAATTCTCTAGCAATACACACCAAACTGTTAATGTGTAGATTGTCCCCAAGCCTCTGTTCTATCAGCAGATGGATTTGGTGACATTAGAAGAAGAAGAGGATCATAGAAGACAGGATCAAACATCCTTTTTACGCAATGCAGAGGATTAAGTCCTTAGATTCCACAGTGAGTATAATAAGCATTCTTTACTGCATCTGCAGACTGATTTTACTGTTGTGAGTTTAATAACACTTTAAGAAGCTCATATACTGTATAAGTCATGTTAGACAAGCATGCATACAGCATGAGGAGGCATAGTATGCCATTAAATAGAGGTTTGTCAAGATGAATTCATCATTGGAGCTGACATACATGTCACTGTATTACTACTATGCTTGTGTTGGTCCCATACATGATATCTGGCAAAGTCAGATATGTTTTGAAACTGATATAACAAAACACTTCCAGAGGCATATTTAGCAGACCATAAGGGAGCATATAGGAGAAGTTTATTGTTAGGGTTTACATATTCTTTAAGAAAAACAAATTACAATTAAAGGGTTGATTCACCAAAGGCAAATAGACTGTCCACCTTGCATGGGAAGTGCACTTTGTAAGGAAATTTGTCAAACGTTTACTTTGCAAAGAATGCCCAATCATGTGCAAGAAAATTTTAAAAAATGCATTTTGCTTGCACATAATTGGGTGATGAAAGTCAGCAGAGCTTCACCTCATTCATTAAGCTCTGGGGAAAATTCCCTGACAAAGTTAAACTTGCCTTGCAGAGTCAACAGCCTTTTTGCCTTTAGTAAATTAACCCAAAGATGTTATGTCACATAACATGTAATGTAACAAGCCCAATAACAGACCAAATCAAGACTATCTTTGTAATTTTGGATGAAGTTTAGGATTTGTATAGATTAGTTAGTATGTGTAATTATGCCTAGAGCCACCAGCAGCAAAAAGACTCTCACTAAGGTTCAGTCTCTTGAAGTTTGTGTTTCCAGAGTGCCTGTTGGATATGTTAGATCTTGTATAGCAAGTATTGCCTGACTGACATATCATTTGCTTCTCAGCCTTTTGGCTAAGATTAAGTGTAGTATCTGTTCTTATCAGTGTCTAGTAGGGGTGCTCCGCTGTTATTCTTGCTTTTAGGCAAGGATGGCTGGCTGTAAAGTACCCCTGCTGGTATGATGGGGCTCTGAAGGTTAGTACCAGCTGGAAGAAAAATCGAGGCGCCCATAGGCTGTTGGGGCCCGGGAGTAATTCCCGTGGGAAAACTGGAGGGGCCCAGTTCCTCCTGATTTGGGTCTACCTTGTTTGGCTAGGGGTCGGGGAGGCAGAGTCTTTGTGGAGCAGTGCCCCCTGAGAGTGGCAACCCCAGGGGTGCTCTTAGTAGCACATGGGGGTGGGATCCCAAGTGTGAAAAGTGCACATGATCACTGTTCTAAACACTTTTTTCTGCATTGTGCCTTTTAGGGCTAGACCTTTTGGCTAAGTCCAGGGCAATTTTATGCTATGGGCCTCAGGGACTAGCCAGTGCACAATTGCACGGCCACTTATTTTTTTTATTTTTCCTCACTGTTTTGACACCTTTCACATTTTTGTGTGTGTTTTTTTTCTCACTAGGATGGAGGGTGTGGGTCATCGGGCCTGCCCTGAAGTCTAGGGGGAGGATGCGTGGCCAGTAGGTTCTTTCCTCCCCTGTTCCTGGGGGGGGTCTCTCTTCGGGAGAGCTCCCTGACCTAGCACTCGGTAGTTGGCTTTGGCTAGCCACTGGGAAAGGGGTCCGCCAGGCCTTTTGGCATGTTGGAAACCCTTTGTCCCTGTCAGGAGCCTTGCGCCCCAGGGACGCTGACAGCTCGAGAGGAGAGGTGAGCTGGTAATCGGCATTCCTCGGAGGGGAAATGTACATTGATCATCAGGGCACTGATGATCAGTGTGCCCTGATGATCAGTGTAGCCCCAGCAGTGCCATCTGTCAGTGCTCATCAATGCCACCTGCCAGTAACCATCAGTGCCTCATCAATGCCACATATCAGTGCCTACCAGTGCATATCAATGCCACATATCAATGCCCATCTGAGCTGCCTTTCAGTGTCACCTATCAGTGCCAGTCAGTGCCACCTATCAATTCCAGTCAGTGCCACCTATTAGTGCTGCCTATCAGTGCCAGTCAGTGCCACCTAACAGTGCCAGTCAGTGCCATGAGTGCTGCCTTTCAGTGCCCATCAGTGATGCCTGTCAATGCCCATCAGTGCCACCTACTAGTGCCTCCTCATCAGTGCCCATCAGTGCCACCTATCAGTGCAGCCTATCAGTGCCCATCACTGCAGCCTCATTAACGCACATCAGTGAAGGAGAAAAATCACTTATGTACCAACTTTTATAACAAAAACTAAGACATTTTTTTTATTTTTTTTCAAAATTTTCAGTTGTTTTTGGTTTGTTTAGCAAAAAAAATAAAAAACCCAGAGGTGATTAAATACCACCAAAAGAAAGCTCTGTCTGTCTCAAAAAAATTATAAAAATGTCATATGGTTACAGTGTTGCATGACCGCGCAATTGTCACACTGAAAGCTGAAAACCGGCCTGGGCGGGAAGGGGGTATAAGTGCCTGTAGGCAAGTGATTAAAATCAAGCAAGCATTGCAGCAACCTTAGGTCTGTCCTGACATGTTCTCTTGAATAAGAAAGATGGGGCTTAGGTGGAATGGTTGGGATAAAATCATATTTATATGTTCATCTATTTGCAAATCCGGTAGTGTCACTCTGCATGCACAGGTGCTGGCTGATTTAAAGGTTCAGTTGTAATACTCATGTGAGTCCCTAAAGACATGTTTAAAATTATAGACATTTTAAGTGCAAAATACCACACTCCTATAATGTTGCACACCAGTTAAACATAATTGCTGTTGAGCCTAAATATTTTTTATGAATGTCAAACTTTTATAACGGAATGGTTAAACTTAAAATACGTAAACAAAAACCACAGATGGACAATAATTGATGCAAGATAAGTGAGAAGTCATATGCCACATACAATTTTCTGTATCACAGGAGAGCAATGATTTCATTACAGTTCTTAAAGGGCTCATTGTCATGGGATAAGTAAGTAGACTGGCAGTGTAAAGAGCTCCCAAGCCTTGTAAATCCCTTTCCAGTCTGACTCACCACCATTTCCTCATGAATTTATCTGAGCATACTATTTGTAATTAAAGTTAAGATTGTCTGCCAAAAATAAGCTGCAATGGTGAAGCTGTAATATCATATATTAAAAATAAAAGCAAATAAGCCTTAAAGTGGAGCTAAAAACAATAAAGTGGATCTATTATTGAAATTCATACTTCATATGGATGCTGTGGAGTGTGCTAGCTATATAAAGTCATGTTATCATGTTGGGTAAAAACAAACATGGGATTTTTGTACTCACCACAAAATCCTTTTCTTGGAGTTCTGTAAAGAACACAGGATTTGAGGATAATTGGGTTTTACTAATGCTTACAGTATGATTTGGACATTGGCAAACCCTCCCACTTCCATCATGCCTTAACCTTATAAGAAGCAGTGCCAGGAGCAAGGTCATAAACAGAGGGTGGGGGACTGTGTTTCTTAATGAACTTTATCGTTCAGCGAGGAATTCAGAGACAACTGGGATGTCCATAAGCAGCCCAACTAAGGAGTGGGCAACAGGAAACAAAACACCAACAGGCCCAACTATAAATGACAGAAAAAAACTGCCTACAGCTGAAAGAATAACATGAAAGACCTTACTCCAAAAGACCTAAACATCCACCTGCTAAATCCTAAAAACATGTGAACAGAAGATCATACGGCAGCCCTTCAAATCTAGGAAACAGTTTTCTGAAGCTGAAATGCTGAAAGAAACAGTAGAATATGCCTTTACAAAAAAGGATGTAACCCGATCCTTAAAACCATAAGCTTCAACAATGATCTGTCTAAACCACCAAGAAATGTTGAAATGAGAAGCTGGCTCCATCAGGAATGGCAAAAAAATGTTGATCTTTCCTAATAGAGGCAATTGCTGCAAGGTAGACAAGAAAACCTTAAACTGTATCAAGACAATAGAAGAAAATCTCCTTCTGTGTACTCCGGCCAGACAGAGGAAAAGAAGCATGATGTCCTGCTTGAGATTAAAGGCCAAAAAATGTAACGATTGAAGCCATAGACCTTAATATGACCCTATCCTCATGTAATACCATAAAAAGGTTCATTACAGAACAAAGTCACCAATTCAGACCCATGCCTCCCAAAGACAATTGTGAACAAGAACACAACTTTATAAGTGAGAGTGCAGAGGGGAATATCTCTAAAAAGTTCAAAAGGCAGTTCTGAAGTACAGAAAAAAAAACAAAAAAATCTAAATATCACAGGGGCATGGACAAGAGCACAGTGGAAGATATATGAGAAATATCCAGCACAAAGTCTAGATTGGAAGCACTGAGATCTTACCCTTGATGACACTTAGGGCTAATTGGTAATCTAGACCTGATTGCAAAAAGATCAGTATTCACCCCCCTGAACATTTTCTGAAATGAAAGCTTCTTCCCTTGATCAAGTGAATTATGCACTCTGTATACAATGGTAGACCTTGCAGGGAGTGGACGTCTTGGCTTATAACACTGAGTAAATCACTAAGTCAACAAGGACCCTGTTCCTCGACACCTGGGCTTAAACAGCCATGCTTTCATGACCAGCAACCGTGAAGCAGGATGGTAAATGAGTTCTTGAGAGTCAAACTGGAAAAGCCCACAGAGCAGTTGTCAGGTATCTTATTAGGTCAACGTACCACATCTACCTTGGCCCTTGCCTTGGTTTCTTGTTGAACCTGCAGGCCAGGTGGTCTGGGTGTGAGGAGCTTTCACCTGCTTCTGTCTGTCTACCAAATGTTTACCTATGGAATGTGAAATGCAGATAATGCTGGAACCTGAGGTTCTGCCCAGTACAGAAAGCTTTCTACTTTTGCCACAGCAAGTCTTCTGGTTTTTCCCTGATTGTTGATGAATTGTCCGACTAGTCGGAATGTCCAGCATTGTTGGAACAATGAAATCACTCTGAGTTTCAGAGTCTCCAGGACTCCCCCCAAGCCTAAGAGGCTGGCATCTGTTATGATGATCTGAAGGAAGGATTTCCCCAACTCCAGAGCTGGATTCCTGTACCACCAGGTGAGAAACAACCTGATTCTTGATGTCAGATTATTTGATTTTTCCGGAGACTGAACCAATTTGTCCCATAATAACAAGATGATGAGTTTGAGAGGTTCAGAGTGAAACTGGACAAACAAGACTGCCTCAAAAGAGGCTACCGTCAGCCCCAAGAAGCATAAGAAAGAGTTGGTTGATTCCTGGACTGAAGAGATAAGAGTCTGGGAAAGGAGAGTTTGAAGTGTTTCTGATCCAACTGAACCTTTTTAAAGTCAGAACTGTCCATGCCACCTTGTCAATTAAAACTTGTACTGACTGTTTCCTTGAAAGGTGTCAAGAAACACGTATACTGACCCAGAAGGTAGCCCAGATACCCTACAATGGGAATGCCCTGGGAGAACAAGACAAACACCAGGGCTATTGGTGAATACACAGCATGCAGAACACAGAATGGTAGGACCACCAACTGGAAGTGCTGGGGACTCATTTTGGAAGCTATTTCTTTATGACATATTTTTTAGATACATTTCATGCATTTGGCATCTGCTGGTACCTCCATGTATTTCTGAAAGAAACGGTTTCTTTCTCCTTGAACCCCTGAGTGATCTGATTTGCAAATACGGACTTTGCTTCCTAATTGCAAAAGTTGGCCTGTCCCTTTTCTTGACTGTCTACTGGGCATTGAGCTGCACATTCCCTTTACCTAATAGGTGAGGTGAAGAAAGTAGGTCAGCATTTTTCATCAGAAAGCAAAACCACTATTTAAACATTGGCAGCACAATGGCTTAATAGTTACCGCTTCTTTGCAGCACTAGGGGCATCAGTTTGAATCCCAGCCATGGCACTACCTGCATTGAGTTTCATACAATGGTTTACTGGTTTCTCCCTGCGCTTGAGTTTCTTTTGGATTCTCTGGTTTTCTCCAATACTCCAAAGACATGCTTGCAGGTTAACTGGCTCCTGAATATGTTGCCTTACTACATGTATGTGTGCATGTGAGATAGGGTCTTTAGACTGTAGGTTCCTTAAATTACATGTGCTATATACTAGCATTTCTCAACTGGGGTGCCATGACTGTGTAGATGTACAATTTGGAGCTCTGTCAGTCTCAGCCCCATACAGATACAGCACAGCACAGTGGAAGCTTGATCAAGGGACCAATGCAGAGCAGTGAATGGGGGAGGTGTCTACTGTAAGTCCTCCACCTTCTCCTAAAGTGCACTGCTAAACAAACGGTTCCCCTGCCAGTGCAGGTACAATCTACATTTGTTAAAAGGGTGTGTGTATGTGGTTTTTTACCATCCCCCAACCTCATGTGTTAACAAGCCAATAGACTGGGGTGCCTTGAGACTAAATATACTTTTAAAGGGTGAAGAAACTGAAAAAAGGTTGAGAAATCCAGCTATATACTGTACATATTTGTAATAAATAATACAAACAAAATATCAGTGCCCCCAATAAAAAGCTTTTGATGCAAATAATATATCTCACTGATGTGCACCAGATACGATTCCATATAGTTTGCTACAATTTTCTGAATCTTGAAAATATCCTACATATCACTATTTGGGTGTGCTGATCTGTAGTTTGCTGTTCAATTTACCTTAATGAAGACTCTCATATTATATGAGAAAAGGTGGAAATGCATAACAATGTGTGTTAAAGAGCATGCAATACTAGTGTATTTAATCACATCTGTTGTGTAGCCCAAAGGCTTATATTGCACCTATATTAGTAAAAGCAGCCATTCAACAAGGATGTTCATTGCATAGTATGTTCAAAAAGATGGCCACTGGAAATTAAATCTACAAATGTGCCTAATTTCAGATCATGTAAAATTGACTGGCAGTGAGTGCAGACTATATGTGGTAACTTCTACTTCTGCACAAGAAAAATGTAGATCACCGCTACGGCACATAGAAAACAAAAAAGGAAAAATGTGCATCGCTCTGTCCCTTGGTGGACCTCATATAGACATTAGCCTGCATGGTAAAAAGCTGTATTTTGCTAGTGAGAACGAGCCCTAAATAA